TTTTCTAGAAAATGATTTGACAAAATTAGTTTCATTTAGTCGTTTCTGAAATGATTTGCCTGGAATAGTCCATGACATTACATCGATTGTTTTCCTATATGATTGCTTTTCCCCCCTCATGAACAATATTATTGTTCAAATTTACAACAAGAAGGTCAAATCATTTTCTGAAAACGAACATTTTGCAGACACCATCTTTACTTGACATTTATCCATTAATTGGCCGTGAATTGTTTGTTTAAATTTTTACTTCGCTGTATTGTTGATAATACCTTACTAGAAATCAGTAATACTTCCATTGTCTGCACTAACCATTGTCTGCACAAACCATTGTCAGATACACTGCTATAACAATAGAACATAAGGATAGAAATAAAACCTTTTGATAATTTTTTTTTTTCCAATGCTAAACTTAATCAAGGGAGAAGAATAAAAATGTCACATTTCGTTTAAAAAAAAATTCTCCAGAGACTGGATCAATAAGGTCAAATTGTTTTATTTATATAGCAGACAACTGATACTGATAGGTAATCATTTATACTCAACCTTTGTCACTTTCACAAAATAAACCAACATTATTTATTATTTTCATATTTTTTCAACGATTTTGATCAAAACATGCCGAGAATTGGAAATTATTTGTAATTGATCAAAAATGAACAAAAAGTGATTGAAAAGTACATGAAAATATGATGCCAACACTTTGGTTGGATAAATGATAATGTTCAAGATGATGACAGTGAACATTTCAAAGAGGTCTGTTGAACAGTGAGTCACAGTAGCATGCTGAGTTTGACCATTGTTTGATCTATCTGTGGTTTTTAACACCAGCTGACAATTGCTCTGAAAGTGATCTTTCTTTTTATGATTCTGAAACCTTCTATTGAAAATTGTGAAATGACAAATTCCATTTGACCTCAATATTCTTGAGGTCGATAAGTGAAATAGTCTATTCTGAATTTCTTAATATTTGTTCACAGTTCACACCAATATTGATAAAAAAAAACCACTATTGTTATAATTTGTGTGGATGATTGCACTTTTGGAGTGTGATTAAATGCAAAATTGAAAATTCATTCTCACTTTTTGAGCACTTTAGCACACCAAAATGTTGGTGCTTTTGCACATTTTAATGTATTTTCTGTAATTTATTCATTAATTTTGAACCTAACAGACATAATTTTTCATTGCCCACATCTCTTGTTCAAACTTTTTGGGAGAATCTGGAAAAAATTATGTGGTTTTGATTTGTTAAAATTTACGATGTTGATTTTGGGTGCCATCAAATTTCTTGCCAACATTTTGGCGCAACTTTTTACATATTTTCATGTATTTGTCTATAAATTCTCAGTTTATTTATGGCCAATTAGACTTAATTTTCCACAGGTTGCAGGAATCGATCGAATTGTTGAAATATAGATAAATTTATGCAGTCGTTTGTTTCATCACAAAAAGTGTCATGATTCATGTTGTGATTCATTCATGTTATGTTTTTTCGGGCTGGCATGAACAGGTGAAGAGAGGGTAGAGGGGCGGCGTGGATAGTTGGAGAGATAGCAGGTGACTTTTTGCGGATTTCCACTGAAACAGTAGTGGATTTTATGTAAGAAACTGACCAGCAGGGCATCTCAAATCTTGTCTGTCTGTCTACCTAAATAATTATTATATAAATTACTAAAATAGCCGTGGAACTCAATAACAAAATGTAATT